AGGGATCGCCGTCAATGCCCTAGGCCTTGAGGGATCGCCGTCAATGCCCTAGGCCTTGAAGGATCGCCGTCAATGCCCTAGGCCTTGTGGGATTCCCATCAATGCCCTAGGCCTTGTTCACTGTAAATGTGACTATGTATTGCAAGTATATGCCACACAAACAGTTCCGAGGGCTGCAGATGATGGCGACAGTGTATCCTGGTATGCTAGCATGACCTTGGGTTACTCTCCTGGCTGGGAGGCTCACGCAGCCCCTAGTCTATGTAGAACAGAGTATCGAATGGAAGATTAACTCTTGCTTTGTTGGATTAGAGAACATAGGTAATATGATATGTCTAGACTTGGTGGTAATGAATCACGTAACTGATTCAGTATAGGGTAAGAACATGTAATCCTTATAGCCTTTAAATCGACGAATATGTGTATAACATTATATCCAGTAAGAAGATGATGTATGTATAATATGTATAACATTATATCCAGTTAGATGATGTTGTTTTAACCCGAGTAAATGCCTGTAGGGTGTCAGAAACTATCAGGGAAATGTCTTCGCACAAGATAAGGGAGAATGGGGGTGAATGGCTCTGTAAGACTGCAGGCCGGAGTCGAGCCAACAAAAAACAAGGATGAAAATCCTGGGGATCCTGTGCAGGGATTTCACTCTCAGAAAAGGTATTAAATGCATGTTGATGTGTAAGTCTGGGTTTGTCTCCTTTGCATATAGGGAACCCAAACAGGAAGCTTCTCCCACCCTGAGGCATCTGCATTTTATTTATGCCTGTCTGACACTAACATCCACAGTGACAAGGCAATGATAAGCATCTAAGGAGTTCCTACCAAGCATTATATAGATATGGCCACAGACAGCAGCCATCGAGAAGATCAAATGCATCTCAATACAGAAGGGAGCAAATGCTCCGAGGCTACAGCTAACGTCTCACTCCTATTGAAATGTAAAACTGCGGGCGTAAGGACTAAGAGCGCTCGCTGACGATCTGCGGAGCTGCAAGTGTGCAGCATATTTCTGCACTGTGGTCGGGCAGGACTCACGCGCATGGGCCAGGCTGAGGGCCCAAAGTCGCAGGTAGGAGGCCGTGTTGGAGATGCAGCCCAGGCAGTACTCTATAGTGTGGATGGCGTGGGTGATGAGCACATCAGCGAAGTCGAACTGCAGAGACAAGGGATTGGGATCAGGGCAGAATCGATATCGCTCTTCTAGCTTGAAGGACTGCTCCCCCAAAAGCGCAGTTACCACTAGGGTCATGTCAATTGATGGTTTGTTAAAGGAATTAGTAAAGGTGTAAACCTATTCTTCAGACAGGAATTCTCAGCATAATTTTACTGGACAAAGTCATTGGTGTCATTTACAATCTAAAAAGCATACAAGGCAGCCACGACTTGGCATATCTAACCATGAAGGTACAAATTATCTTTTGACGAATGAAGAAACGAAAATACTATGGCCGAGATGTTACTGCAGCCCCTTCAAGGTCCAACCTGGGGACAGGGGGTTTGATTGAGGGGAGACTGAAGCGTCCTGATACAGAAATGTGACACATTATTTCACCATGTATCAAGCTGACATATAACAGATCCGAAGACACAAAACAGGTAGAAATATGCCAGCGATACAGGTGAAAAACTCCATGCCATTATAGTGCTGACGCATTGGCTTCAGCTGACAGGAGTACAGACCTCGACCAAACCGACTGTTACGGCATTACCCGTAATGACTGCCGCACCAATGCCAGACTGTCACCAATACCAGGGAAAGTGGATTCAGCCACGGGCCACCCAGAGTGTTCAACACCACACGTGCACCCTAACCCATCTGAGCAGGCAGAGCCATGCAGGCAGAAGCGCAGACAGACAGCCAAACGCAGACAGACAGACACAGACAGACATACACAGACAGACAAAACGTGCATGTAAACATGCAGCGGTCTCTTACCACTTCCTCTGCCTGTTACGGGTTAGTTTTCAGTTAGTTGCAGGGTGAAGAAAGCAATTAATTATTAGTAATGAAAAAAAAACAAACAAAAAAAAACAAATGACAACAAGGTATTTATGCAGCAGCAGGCATGTTCTGTTCTGTCATGGTCACCCGCTGACTGAAGCACACACGCACGCACGCACACACACGCACGCACGCACGCACGCGAATATTTTTCTCAATAGCCTAATGCCATCTGACCTCATGCATCCAGTTCCCTGCAGCTCCCAGTGTTTCCATTAGCCCTGTACAGCCCTTTGTGTCTTTGAAATTATGTTGACATTCATTTGATCTCAGTTTCCCCTAAAGGGAAACATGAACGCGGGTGATGTCGTTTAGTTCCCTTCCAGTCAGTTCTGCCAGAGCTGACAGACAATGCCTTCTCCAAGTCTGAGGCGCTTATATCATCACAGTTCACTTGCCATCAGGTTTGTAAACAGCAACAAGCTGCACTGATTATTTACCCCAATATAATAATTCGGCAATCATTCTTAAAAGATTCTTCTGTTTACAGGAACAAATGTAGTGGAGATGTGGAAATGAAATTCAATAGGGACTCTCTATTCCCGCTTGATAGGTCATGGACACAATGACCAGGAGGAGATAAGCCGACACACTTTGCAGCTTTAGCAGGCCGGACTCCAAGGACCTGGAATAGCCCCCGTCTCATCACACTTTGTAGCTCACCCCCCCCACCACGAGGAATTCCCAGAACCACAGTGCACCCAGAACTGCACTTGTGTCTCCACAGCAACGGGAAGGTGTGTGTTGTACCAACCACACTATCACGCAGACAAGATGAGGCCAATGTTCAATGATCCTGGAATTGTCTTGGTTTTTCCAAGCGCAGTAAAATAAACAAGGAATACCAGGTCAAGGTTACTTAGGCATAACAAGGAAGAAGGCAACAGGTTCACAAGGATAATTCCAACATCAAAACCATAGACACACTCACAGATACACTACAATTCACTCACCACAAGCCCTGACACAAAAACAGAACAGCTGAGCTCCATAGCGGAAACGCAAAATAATAATTTGCTAGGTTTGGCTTGCAGCTATTTAATGACAGGCTTTACACAGCAGACCCTCTCATCCAGAGAGATGAACAGATGGACCATTTCATACTTTCACCCAGAAACTACGTAGGAAGAGAAAGAAAGATCAGAATGAAGCAGAAAATAGCAAGAGGCTCTGTATTAGCACTCGCCCCCATTGTATCTTACGGGGGTTCGATGACCACCAGAGCTATGGCCTCCGAGAGGAAGGTGTTTTCAGTTAGGAGTGGGATGCCACCCCCCCCTACCAAAAGAGCCCTTTGCTAGAATTCTGCCTGCCAGGCTTTTGAAACTCGAGCCAATTCACAACTGCCACGGTTGAAGCCTCTAGCAATGACTGAATAATTTAAAGTAATCCTAGCTCAGTATGTTTAGTACCTGAAAAATAGCAACTTGTATGCTTAAATGGAGGTCTTGGTTCAGTTTAATTCTGACTATCTACGCCTTTTTCCAGCATTTATGTGCAAGTTTGTTCTGCATTTCGGCAGTAAGAGACCCAGAGAGAGTCTACTACTTTGATTTCATTTACTCCTTGAAATAGAAGGGTATAAAATGACTAGTCCACTGCTAGGTCACATCATTCTCTTTCCCAAACTGCTAAGCCTCCCAGAGTCTGTCACTGCTGGTTCTTAAGCATGGATAAGCCAATTTCAGTGAAAGAGCAGAACGGGCAATCAGTGTTCATGCAAATAACGCTGCCAAAGACACTGTTAGGGAAGCAAGGGAGGGCTGGAAGTTTCTCACCAGGCTGAAATGTTTAATGTGAGTCAGAAAGTGAAATAGACTCGGGATGTGCACGGGAAAAGACTCGGGATGTGCACGGGAAGAGACTCGGGATGTGCACGGGAAGAGACTCGGGATGTGCACGGGAAGAGACTCGGGGCAGCTTATTCTCACCTCCTCTTCATCCTCGGAGTGCTCAGAAAGCTGGTCATGCTCGATGATGCCAGCCTCGTCGTCTGTCGGCCCATTGCCAACCCGGATCCCGCCAAAGTTCTGTGTCCCCTGTTGGGTGCGATAGAGTCGCTTGTCTCTGCTAACGATCCTACACACTCAGCAAGGCTCTTTAATCTTTATGCTTGATGCCTAAGCACCGTTTGATTACATAATATAAATTTGTTCAGACACGGAGTACATTCAAACTTACCAGGCGCTTCTTCCATAAGTACTGACGCCGGAGAATAAATGGTTTTACTATCAGCATGCAGGGAACACACAGAACGGCTATGACCACCAACATACACTGGATGACCATCTACAAAGGCAAAACAAAAGTTATATCAGATGTTGGGAAAAAAAACACAGAACCCCAAACTGTGATGGGGCAGGGCTACAAGTGCAAGCCATCGAGGGAAAAATCACCTGTCCTGTGTACAGCCTTGCAGGGTCACTGTAGTTGAACAGGAACATGTTGATGAAAGCGATGAGCAGGCTGGGAGCATCTTTAGAGGTGGTCACATCATAGGCGATCCACTTGTAGAAGATGAGGAGAACTAGGTACCCAAAAAGGCATCCCATAAATACAATCTCGGGGATGAAGCTCAAGAAAATGTTGAGGGGCTTCTTGAAGTACCTGCAAAACCAGAGAAGACTCGGCAAAAAATTCCAAAAAGGATACAGGCATGAAAAGACAGCACCGTGATGCGAGATGACATGAGATGGGGTGGCCGTTTAAGCCCGACGGCCTACATGTGGTTGAACACGCTGAGGGTGACGCCGAACATCATGTGGATGATCCCCAGAATGACAGACATCTTCATTTTAAAGGAGTTCAAGAAAGTCAGCTTGTTGCTGGAAAGATTCCAAATCTGTGTAGCACAGTTGCACACACAAGATTTGTTTAAATCCAAAATTCCACAACCATAGCATTAAACAAAAGAAAAGAAATAAAAAAAACACAAAATGATCACAATGACTTAGCATGTCAATATGGCAGGAATGCGACTCCTAGGAGGGCCTAGTGACAAAATTATAATTACCGGGTCAATACCAATAGGGTAAGGTCCAGTGAACACTCCTGGTACTGCAGGATCCAGCTGCAGCAGCTTATTGCCTTGAAGTGTATGGAATCTGAAAAGTGCAATGTTCAAATCTTAGCGTTAGCACCATTTACACCATTGTTACTCTGGGGCAAGATAAGAAACGTCCGGCCAGAATGGAGGAAACGGTTGACGCACGTCCAGTTCGTCCCATTCTCGCCAAACATCGGCCGGACACTCCAGGCTGAGCCGAACGTATTTAACGTCTTGGAGAAGCAGTCATTGTAGATGGTGCCCGTGTAGATGGAGAAGATCCCCATTAGAAGGATGATGTAGCGGCCAGAGAAGATCATATTGAACATCTACACAGTAAATGAAGAGGAATTAGCAAGGGCAACATAACCCTCGATCTCCCACCAGACGTTATTAATATTTCAAGCCATATTCTTATATGCAACAGAGAATGAATTATTCTGGGTTCTTTGCTTCCTATTAAGTGATCCAGAGTAATTCCACGTTTACATATATCTTTGATGCCTGGTTGAACTCAAAGGTTCTAGAACGTCCCCCTTTCGATACACAAAGTTGAGGGGTCTAAAGCTCCAACGGTTGCATCCTTCCACACCTCATTGTCAATCTTCTGCGAGAGGATCCGTGTTTCTCTCAAGACCAGGTAGAGGGCGCCAAGGGTCATAAGCAAGCCATGTCCCAGGTCCCCAAACATGACAGCAAAAAGGAATGGGAAAGTGATGATGGTGTAAGGGGCTGTCGAGAGAAAATAGGAGAACGGTCGTTCGTGGAAGGCAGACAGATGAGCAAGGCCCCTGCAGACACTAGCATTTAGACTTGAGTCATTTCAGAACATGCTTATAAGCAAATGTATAAAATTTGGGGTTAGGGTTAGGGTTAGGGTCTGCCAGTACTCTCCATTGTTAATTGCACTGAAGAGTTTTTTGCTGGAGGCGAGAGAGTGGAATTAGTCAATAGTTTGTTCGAGATTCTCACACCTACCCTGGGGGTCAAATTGACCCCAAAGCCACATGTCAGGTGACTTTTCTCATAGTAACAATTACTGTAGGAGCGCGTAAGAGCTAAGAGAAAAGAAGGAGGTGCGTATAACATTCATTGAAGAATCTCACTGTTTCAGGCTGTAGCTGAAAAGGTGTGGCTCAGGCAACTGTAAAAGTAAGGTGTGTGTGTAGCATAACTCAAGGGGGGGAAAGTGTCACGTATGAAGGAGTAAATCAGCACCAGGGTTCATCTCGCGGTACGTCCCCATCCCATAGGCATCCACGATATTCTGAAAGCCGGAGGTGAACTTGTTGGTCTTGTTGTACGTGGGTGGGGTCTGCTTAGTCTGCATCCTGTTGAGAATGGAGGGCACGGTGGAACCGCTTCTTTCCTGCCAAAACAAAACAAGATTTAAAAATAAAAAAAAAAGAAGTCACACCACACCTATCTACTCTTTGGTTCGGACCCAGTACACAAACAGCTCCACACCAAACAGCTGCACGCCTCCGTATTGCGGAAACACAAACCACAGACGCCTGATGTCTCGCGTCCACTGCTCTGCAGACGACGCCTTTCCTGCCTCGAGATGAACGCTATCGCAACGGACTGCTCGTGCTCGTTGCAGATAAGAGACTCATCACCAGTACTGGTTCAGACCATACATACCACAGCTTGTTTTTCCTCAACAACTCAACGAACTTAACTTACAACATTAAAAAGAAAACTAAAAAGACTTCTCACGTTAGAATTTCTCTTGCAGCTCAGCGTAACGTTTGCAAAAATCAGTTTTTTTTTTAAAAAAAAATTTAAGTTCCCTTTTTGCAGGCAACTTTATGTTCAGGGTCAAAAAAATATTCAGACATGTCAAGACACTACTCGACATTTAAGAAATCTGCCATTTACAGACTGCCTGAACATTTCTTTGGCAAGTATACATTATACTGCAGTGTCTCCCCTACCATTATATAAAGGGGGCACCTCCCACCCCCCCCTTGAAGGTCAAGTTAATTTTATTTAATTTTACTTTCTATATAGCACCAGATCACAATAGAAGTCATTTAAGGTTACCTTTCCTATAGAACAGGTCTATACATTGTCCTTTTATTAACTAAATAGCCTTATGTTATGTTATTTACACAACAGCTTGTCATGTTTGTCTCTACACGGTCGCGCGTTTACAATCCTCCTCTGCTCTCTGTATCGCACGTGGCGGAGTTCCGCCCCAATGTGCGTGCACAGACACGTGCGCGCACACACACAGGTGAGCACACTCCCACCAGCGGACAGAGAGCGCGTGTCGGAAAATATGTCCACCTAATTGACGGATAATTGTCATAAAAAGAAATGTTCTGATGTTTAGTTCAGTTGTTATATTGACTGCCGTCATTAAGAGAAACACATGAACACCATGAATCCTGTCCGTCTGCCGCCCGCCACGCCCCCCAAACCTGTAAACCTGGGGGGAAACACTGTAGGGACAGGGACAGCGGAGAAGTGACAGCAGAGTCTCCCTCAGAGACACCACACTCACGCATCCTGCTGTCGACACAGTGTAACAGCTGACAGTTCAGGCCTTCATCCTGCTCTCTCCACCCTCGTGCCGACAGATTAAAACACAAGTGCCTAGCAGTTCATGCCCCATGGACTTTTGACTTCAGCCTGGGAGAATCCAGGAAGAAAAGTGCATTATGGTCTTGAAGCAAGCTGAGGAATTGGGCTTCCTCACTGGCTGTCGTCTCTGCGGATTTACTACGCCTCACAGTCACATGCACACCTAATTATTAAAGGGGGAAGCCCGTGAAAAGCCTTGAGATACAGATACTAACTTACCTACAAATATTTTGCTTTTTAAACCTTTTTAAAAATCATTAAAAAAAAATTTGCCTTCAAGTTAATGAATGAATTGCACAAGGTACAACAAAATTGAGAGACTGTCCAAACAAAATAGGATGAACAGAATATAAAATAAAACTATAGAAAGCAAATAAACAGAACATAAGTAAAAAGAATATAAAATTGAATATAAAAGGAGTTTCAAGAATAAAAATGTAAACAAAATAAAAACTACAAAAAAGGAGGCGTTTAAAATAAGTGTGATTCAGTTTCACAAAAAATATGAAAATATTGCACATTTTCGGCATTATAACTAAGAAAATATTGCATACATTAATAGGTGACGGGCAAGTGATGTCTCATATGTGATTGAAGGCAGGCCGAGTATCATGCCGGACAAAACAGAAACGAACATGTCTGTTAGAGCAATCTGTCACGCTCTCAAACGACTCCACCTTGTTTGTTCTGTGTCATGCCACAACACTAGAGGGCGGATAACGTTTGCAATGCGGCAGACCCACGGACAGAGCACAAAGAGACGGCCTTTTAATAAAGAAGATGACAGCGGTTTTAAAATGGAAGTTACTCTCATTACTAAAAATTATTTGGTCTAATTCTAGAGGCGGGACAGACAGAGAAGCCAACAGTTCATACGACTCTCACGAGTACACGCTAACGACTCTCACGAGTACACGATAACGACTCTCACGAGTACACGCTAATGAAACACACACATTCCACAGCAAACACGGTTACACCATTTACATAAATACACAAACAAATATATTAATTTATAGTATTTACAGATACGCACGGTGTAGTGCAAAACATACTGGTAACTGCATAACTAGTCCTGCTGACCAATCCCACGACATCACATTATGTCAGCCAATCAGAACAAACAAGTTAGGTTCTGGGACCCTACACAGGCAGATCATCGAAACAGCGGTCACCACTCATACTGGTAAAACGACGTCGACTCCCTCGATTTCATTTGAAGTACACGGCCACTGTTAGTCTGAGCAGAAAAGTCTGCTAAAAAATTTTTTTTAAATCACCTGCCCTGAGCCCCGTGGCTCCAAGCTAATCTCGCAACCCTGTGCTGGTTAAGCAGATAGAAGATGGGTGGATGGATTAATGCATGCTTGCTAAATGAATCAAGATAACATGAAGGTAACATGACATGGGTCATTTCTGTGACAACATACAGGTGGCTTCTCCCATATTTCCCTTTTCCACTTGATTTAGGATTATTTACTTCAAGGACAAGATCAAGATATACAGGTTTAACTAAGACAGACATAACATGTAGGTCAGTGCTGGCAAATGGCTCAGCCCGGTCTATCATTGATGAGGACGAGAAGGCATGTTAGACGTCCGTTCGTAAGGATCACATTTTGACCATCTGGAAAGACCTTCACCCCAGGTTTCCTTCACTGCCTACCGATACTCTGGGATCTGTGCAGGAACTCGAGAGTGAGTCACTAAGTTATTCATAAATTTATTATCTTGAATCCACATGACTGATTCTCCTGAACTTCTATTCAGGGTGAGTGTTCCCCTCATGAAGGATATGGTATCACCTTGGTTAACCAAATATAAACTGCTGCTTTGGCATCCAATTCCCTAATCATTAGCAGTAATGCAGTTCATAACTGCTTCCCCAATTAAAGCTAAAGATAGGGTGGAAAACATGAGGGCAGGCAGACCTACCGTGCCCCTCCGCAGAGCAAACTGTATGGCTTCCAGGTCTGACACAGGGCACCACACCTCTGCGATGAGGCATTTCTGAGTGACGTCGATGTTGCAGAGGTTGAGAGTGTGATAAATGGCCTTCATCTTCTTAACCTTGATGAACCACACTCTCAACGTCTTGGCGGCGGCTTGCAGGACCCTCGTGCGATGGTCCTCCGTTTGATTCAGCACCTGACACAGAAGCAGCAGAGGGGTCACGGCATTGCGACAGGAGCTACGGGAAGAGGTTGGCGGTCCGTCAAGGGTCCCGGGGTGCGACACTAAATTCCCCCCACCCCCACCCCCACCACACACACACAGCCAACAAACAGTATTAAGTTGCATCCCTACACTTTGGCCAAGATCTATGAATTGACACCGCAAATGCCAGCTTGCATTTGGTCGTGTGTGGCTGTTTAAAAAAGCAATAATGGGATTTACTGTGCAATACAGGATCAGAGGATTCCATTCCGTGAAGGAAGTGGGATTAAGCATATGGGAAAGTGTGACTGTTTCTCCAGGCGTTCCCTCTCACCCACACAGTCATGCCTACGCGGTATCCCCGTAACCCTACTCGATTGCCCAACCTGTCGATTTGGGCACATCTCCTTCATGGGGACGATCAGATTAACAGACCCCCCCAATAGCACACTGAGGCTTTGATCCCACCTCCCCCACAAAGGGACATCAAGTGCAGCTGCAACTGATCCAGACTGTGGGACTCCGACAGGCCTGGCTGGCCCATAGAATCAAGGCATGGCCCGCCAATGACTCACTGCACGGGCATTAAGAGGCCCTCTGGCATGGAAAGAGGCGTAGGCCGGAACGGTCACTATGCAGGCGGGGGCATGCGTGGGTGGGTGTTCTGCGGGGGCCAACCGTGCTCAAAGTATAGAGTCCCAAAGCAAAGTCGTTTTCCTACCCCGATACGGTCAATAATCGCCATACCTCGCATGCCAACGCTCATCATACAGCCCTGACTCATTGTTCAAGTGGTTCTGGTCCGTTTCCTGGACTCGTCGTTTCAAAAAAAAAAAAAAAAAAAAAAAGAAGGACACATGCAGCCTCCCTTTAATCCAACCTGCCAGCGCATCTGAAAGGCAGCTCAAGCTGTGTTTAACGTGAGAGCGCAGACAGCCCTGACCCCAACCCCCCGTTTGCTGCAACGACGATGCGTCACTGAAGGGAAGCGTCATGCCACCCCCACCCCCAAACACCCCCCCACTCTGGCAAAGACAAGGGTAGATTAGAGTCACCCACACCCTATTACAGTCTTCAAAGGGTGCCTGGCACAGAACAGCATAAGCATGTCATTTTAAATTGTGAAGGTTAACAACAGGTGTCCGACAACCTTGTTTTAAGTTCTCAACCAGCCTTGCACTGCAGCACTGTGGGGGGGCAGGAGGGGGTGATTGGTACTGGGCTACTTCACACTACCAACCGCAAATGTTTACATAAATCGGCTTGATTGCATTATCTGCCGGCCAGCCTAATTAGGTATAAAAACCCGGCTTATTGGCGAAATCTTTCACTCTTACTAGATTTACTCTAATGTAGTTACATTGTGGCCTCCTGCCTCCACTCTCAGCAAAGGCAAGCCTGCACAAATGGAAACAGCAAACCCTTATATTCTGCCAAATGTAACAAGCTGTCCATGTTTTCTATTCCATTTCGATACGGTTTTATATTTGCATAGTGCATTTTCACAACATTACATTGTCTCAAAGCGCTTCACTTTATCCTTGCCCAAAGCATGAACACAAGGCATCCATCGCAGTTATTGCTCACATTGGAATTGTTGAAATTCGAAGTTTTACAATTCAATATATAGTAGCAGAATTTCCCAAGCGATCCGAAATTCTGTTTCACTCCAACCCCCAACTTCCGCGGTTGCGCTGCCAACAAAATGGCACGAAAGGCTCTACAAGTAGCTCAGACGCTACAACGAGCTGCACCTGAGACCCCAGCCTTTCCTCTTTGAACCATCTGGTCCCGGTGGCAGCGTCTGGATAAGCCAGGGATACCTCATTGGCACGAATCGCAAGACTAACGATAAAAAAAACACATCTATCAGGGTTTAAAGGCTTATTGCACAGACATGCACACACGCTGCCACACTGCGGTCACAGAGATCCGCACCATCTGAAGGTCATCAATACGAGTGTTGACACCAATAGCCATCTCCTTCCTCTCCTGGGGGGTCTCGGGACAGGGATACAGCGATGCACGGAATCTGGAAGGTAGAGAGATGGGGAGCGCAGGCGCTATGGATTATGGGTAGAGCCATCCTAGAAAATCATTATCGGGGAAAAAATAATATCGAACAAAAATCAAAGCTGTGTAAGACCGAATTACCCCTCGCATATTTTCTTCACCCTGTTCTTCAGCTGGTCACCTTGGAAGAAGATGATGAACACCGACTTGTGGACATGGTCTCCCTGCAAAGGAAGCGGTTTTGGTCACTCGGCTCAGTCGGCTCAGAAAGCCACGTACGCGATTAATATCGTAACGGTTCACATCCGTCAGGGAGCCAGGGTGTTCTAAGCTCAAAGAAATGAAACTAGAGCCTGAAATCGGAGAACGCTATCATTAGCACCGGTGGGCAAACTTTCCGCTGTTAATTATGCAGGGAAGTCCACTCGGAAGGCAGTTCCTCAGATACCCATGGGAAAGGATAACGAGGGACAGATTCCGGAGCCGGCCAGGCACCACTCACCGTGGCGGGGTCCTCAAGGGGGTCCTCGATATCCGCCTGCCTCAGGAAAACATTTCCCCGGCACACCCTCCACAACATCCGCTCGAAGGTGGGAATCCTCTCCCTGCCAATCACTCCGGCCACAAATCTGCAGGGGTGACGGAGATACTTATTAAATTCGGAGCTCTCCCGGAAACATCTCGAGGGTGCGATCAGAATATCCAACCCTATGGTTTTCTGAAAAATACCAGGTTGCAGATCTTACAAATTAGTTTTAAGGTGGAGCAAGTGAGATCAGCACTATTGCTGTCATATTCATGAGTCTCTGATATCAACAAAAAAAATAAATAAAAACACCAGGAAATCAGTATAGGAGTATGTGTGAAACAGATTGCCACACTTCCTATTAGCCAATCTTATATTCTGCTCGTTTACTAAACATACTTCTACGGATTGCCAGGATGACGCAAAGACGAGTAGGGCAAGATCGGGCACCTGCATCAAGCCAAGAACATGAGCAGACCGGATGTGCCATCCGTTCAAACCTGAATTTCACTTCATTGAGCAGGAAAGCCAAGGCATCTCTCTATGCTTCTACAGGGCAGACCATCCCCGCCACTCCCATTATCTCTTCAATAAAAGAGGCAGGCCTGTGTACACGTCCAGCATAGCTAAGCAGCAACTTCATTGACATGATTAACATGTTTGTAGCCAGTAACTCCAACGCAAGGCGTCACGATGGCATTCTGAGCTGGTACCTGGGTTTTCATGTTCAAATTCTCTCGGAACGGCAGGCCTTCCTGTTATTTATAGTGTTTCATAATATGAGCTGTAATTATAAACAACGAAGTAGGGGAAAGCATTACACTCTCACTGCTAATCACCGGACTCGAATGATCATGGGACAGATATACTGGTAGTACGTTCTAGCCAGTATGGCCACAACAACGTCTACTATTTAGGTCAAGCTAACTTTGCCAGTAGGTTGAAGATATTGACTTCCCATTTTAAAAGCTCCCGTTACTGGCACTCACTCACAACACATAGATCTGAGTGACCTGTCAGGCAGGAACTCAAAACAAATCTGCAAAGAGGTGTTCATTTAAAAGGGGCTGCCGTATTAGAAGCCAAAAGGAGAAGATGCAGGACTCACCCCAGCCTCAGTGGCGCAACCCGGCCAACCTCATTTGGGTCCAGCAAGGTGGACGACTCCTCGAGCAGGCTGGGATCCTCCATCTGCTGATGATGACGCAATTGAGCCTGAATTCACAAAACCAACCAGACAGCTAATCATCCCCCGTTAGTGGCATGCGGCAGGTAACAGTACATTGGAGGGGGGGGGGCAGACGAGGGGTTAAAGATGTTCAGGGAGAATGACAGAACCTAAAGAGCCAAAACACAAATGAAATTGAAAATAGGGAGAGCCATTTCAGCACGTCCAATCCATCCCTGTCAATAAGCCGACGGCAGACCCGAGGAAAGGAGGCCTCTGATTGGCAGCTTCCACAGTTGCATCGCCCCACCTTATCCCAGGATGTACTACCAAAAGGTTAACAAGCTCCTTGCCTGCACAATGCTAATGCATTTCACTGGCGGCACCAGATGTTTACTCAGTACCCACAAAATAAAAGAATGTTAGCAATGATCCGTGCAAAGCTCGTGTCAAAGCCATGGGGCTTAGGTATTGTAAGGAGCAATGCAACATATTTGACAGGCCCCAGAGTGCATGAAGAAGCAACTTTGCACTGCAGAGAGACATGCAGGGGAACATGCAAGTGGAATAGAATGCAAGGAGAACTAGAGAGCAGTTTGCAGGAGCACAGAGAGAAATGGCGAACCAAGGGATAGGAGACGAGTGGATGAAGGGGAAGTTGGGGCAAGGAGGAGCCGCATGCCATTAACCACTACTTTCCCTTCCCCGCCTTTCGTCAAGGGCTGCGTCGTGAAGCTGGCATTGACCGCAATACACTGCTGCTCTTTACAGCTAGGAAAAGGACAGACATCATTGGGTGATTCACAGCAGTTACTCAAGGCCACCCTCAAATCAGCAATTGGAGATAAATATGCTTAGAAGAAATTACTCCTAGCAAAACCAATGGATCAGCAGGCCGTGCGTCACGTATCACTAATGTAATTAACCGGCATTTCATGCACATTAAAATGATTTCTCTCAATAGGCATGCACAGTCTGATATTCCTCCAATACAATAGACCCAGAGATTTTAGAACAAGATGCATGCTTTGCGTTTAAGCCTTAATTGCACTATTGATTACTGCATATCTGTCACCAAAAAAGAAAAAAGTAGAACTGTAACATGAGTAAGCAACTGTCACCAACAATTCTATTATGTGCACTTACCGAGAACTAAATAAGCTGCCAGCCTAAAAATAAAGCTCACAATTTCAGCAAACATGCCGCACGTTCAAAAGCACATTAAGTAGGGGTAAAATTTTCAGGAATGCTTTTTAAGGTAGTTAAAGTACAGCTGAAGAGGGTCCGAAAATAATAATTATTATAATAAAAGTACACATGGTCCTTTAGTTCTAGATGATCAGCTCAATGGACAGACACTTAAAGGAAGTCTGGGTGCTATTTAAAGCACGCTATTCCCTGCATATGAATCTGAAACTTAAAACTCTCGAAGAACAAGTTTGGCATATGAAACAAAAGTCCATACTTGGCATACTGTTTTCTTAATTTGAACACTCCCCTGAACAAATCCCAGACTGATGGACCAGACCAACTGTGCTCTCCAATAAACTGGACCACAAATCCAATCCTACCAAGCTGTGGTCCAATGGGCCGTTTGATGGGTGGGGGACCTGACCTCATCAAAAAACTGCTGTGTGCGGCGCAAGATGTGCTTCAGCTCAGTAAGCTCTAGGAAGTTTTTCTTCAGGGCTTCTTGGTTGGTGTTGATCTCCTTCAGCTCATTCTCCAGCTTTTCGTAGGTGGCCTGTCAAGGAGAGGCAGGCAATGGCCACTCGAGCGAAATGAGGAGAAATGGCAAGAATGATGGGGGTCAAAGATGATCCAAAAAAGGTGGCCAGAAACACAGCAATACCTCCAGGTCAATCATATCTCTAGGGAACGGGACCTCTGGATTCTCTCCTGAGTCTACGATGGCAATGTTAGCCTTCTTGACCTCCTTCTCCACAAACCCTGCACATACATGCAAAGCAAAATTTGTCTTTCAGGAAAACAGACTCGCAGCGAAAGAAAAAAAAATCAATTTCTTCGTTGTCAGACTGCAGCTTTGAAAGAAGAGAGACTCACTCAGCTTGCGGTCCATCTCCTCGCAGCGCCGCACCTCATTAACAAACTTGCGTTGGAAGACATTTACATCTGGGTTCAGCTGCAGCCAAAAGCAAAACAAAATGATTCAGACAGTAATATCTGATAGGAATTCTTACAAATGAAAATAAACTACCATGTCACAATATGTTTAGTATGTCATTGAGAAAATAAATTGCTTTGTGTCCATCTTGTAACTTTTCCCCCAACATGGTAAATGTCTTATAAGAGATCCAGAAGAATACATTTGTCCTAGTAAAATGGTTCCCAACTGCATGCACATTAGGACCCACATTATTCCTCAGCCATTTATTCATAGCCCACATGTTTAGAATTTCAGGCCCAATTTACCACCACCACCCCCCCCCCCCCACACACAAACATACATACAGGGGACACTGTTTGGAATAGCTGAGCTCAGGGGTAGAAGTATCAAATCCCCCCCCCCCAAAAAAAAAGTGTTAAAAAACGCAGTAACGACATAGAACATAGTGCAGTAAAAGTAGCGCAATGGTGCTATGAACACACAAAATAAACCTAACATTAGAAATTTCTTTTAAATACTGCTTTTTAACCACACACTCTGCAAACCAAGGAAAATGACCCTATGACCCACTTCTAGGTCACAGCCAACAGTTAGGAAACAGTGTCCGAGTAGATCCATGTATTGGGGAAGTTATTAATGCAAAGAAAACACAGAGAAGAATCCCGTCTTCAAGAAAGGTAGAGGGGTTAAAAACGTTCATTGGTGGTTGTGTGGAAGGGGTGGTTGAAAACCATCCTCTCTTAGAGAAGGTACTGTTACCACAATGGTTAGACCACCAGACTAAAGATGAAACAGCATTTTGAAGTATAGAACTCACATCCCGAAACTGGACCATCCCTAGCTCTCCCAGCTCACTGACACAGCAGTACGCAGCTTCTGATTGAAGGAAGACTTGAGCCAAAGTCATCTCCTCACTTCGGAAGACATCCCCCATGGCGGCCGAGGGATTACCTACGCTACAGTGAAATGGCAACGCTCGTCTTTATCACTGTAGGAACAATAAAATAAAAAGTCACCACAATTTAGTGTTTAGTATAGCAGCACTGCAGGATTATACATCACAACATGTATCAGTTTGCTCGATATTTTGCTTTTCATTAGGTCAGTTGATTGAAATGTTTTCAGGGAGAAGTAGCAGAACCTGCTGTGAAAGGATTTTAAACCATAACCTTGATGATCTGAGAAATAATGAAAAACTTTACAAAGGGAACTTGGAGTGCAAGGTTCACCTAAAACGACTCTGAGTTACAGGATTAAACTGCTGACCCAGGTAACTCTGCGTACTAGTCAAGGTAGTATTCCAGCTCCACGAAAAGGTATACATTACAACCTTGGGTGAGCTCCAAAACAGTCAACAGACGTTGTTAAAGACTGGAAAAAGGTCTTACAAATACATAAAACCCTGCCTTTTAACGTTATTCGCTGAAACACGACATACTTTTCAGTTCTTAAAATGCTGGTATTTACCTGCTAAAGACAGTATCCGCTTTCGCTAGTGACAGCAGCTTAGAAAACAAGTGAACTGCGTCAGCGTGGTGCTGTTAAAAGCGGACTCTGGCTATCAAATGCCGTCTATATACAGTGAAACACAACAAACAAAATGCCCCTTCCTGTCAAGCATGAATGCAACTGCTAGCAGTTCGCAGCGAAGTTGTTGATAGTGGATGTCAGGCGAAAGACGGGCACCCGACGATATTTACACTATCACCAGAGCTCCAGGGCTCATCTGCTATTTTCAGAAAGGCGAACCTACCAGCCTAATGGGTGAAGTTTCGTTGGGCATGAAAACTCTACAATTTGGCGTTAAAAGTTGTTTTGTAAAGTTGGGGAAACCTGTAAGTTTATAATGAAAGGTCGGTCTTATTTAACAGCCATCTCCTTCCCGATATTCTCAGGCGGCGGGATAAATACGGCATCACATAATTGAGATTAATGTTAACTAGCCAACAAAGAAGCAGTATTTAACAGCCTGTGTGTCCATATGCGAAACCAGCCGTCTGGGAAAAAGTTAATTTAGCCTGGAAAGTAAGCCACACACTAACGCAAAATCCCTGTAATTATACTCAAACAGAAACAAAGCGAAAACAGAACAATGCTAAAGAATAACCCACTTACACGTCAAGCAAAATATTTAAGTTAACGTATAGCACCCAAAGTCAAAATATGAGAATAACTTACTGTAATTGAATCTTTCCGATTACTTCAGCGCTGCCCAGTTTCACGGCAAATATCAGCTGATCGGACTTCGCTGTTACGTACGTGACGTCAGAGCACGCAATGACACGTGACCGAAGGCGTCGCCGCCCGGTCGGCTTTATGAATGTGTGGGCATTGCCCTTGCGTAAGGCTGATCATCAAAAAAATGAAATTAAGTAAAACATTTTTAGCCCTTTTTAATTTTAGATGAATTATGTACCGCGATAATAAAGTTGTTTACAGGAGTACTGTCTCTAAAAACAATGCACGATCCATATGATAGTGTTTAATAAACACAGCAATAATTGTGACCTTTATTTCTAAACGTTTCTAAAGTAAAAATGGTAGCATATATACCAGGTACAGTATGAAATATTACTCGTGGTTCTTTTATTTACTTTCTGAATTCCCACACATATTTTCCAGCTGCCTTAAGCACTGAATGCTCCGCACTATTTGCTGGTGTTAGATGCCTTATCTTCTTATCAACTAACCTGCTCTCAATATGGATCTTGTGTCACTGGGCCACCTATTCATTGTGTATCTTCTTGAATTTGGGAAAACACCTGTTCAATGCATCCAGCCCGCAACGTCGTGGAACATGTGATCACTGTGTTTATGCTACATGCTGCGGACAGGGTGATACCGTGATCAGCATGGAGCTTTGGCAACAGCCCTAAATAGCTATTGATCGAGGCCCATATCCAGGTCCTGGAGCATTTTGCAGCAGGGGGTTAAAACTTGTAATTTTAGTATTGTAATTTTAGTGTGTTATTGGTAATATATATATAATATACATAAGATATTTCTATTATTATTATTACTATTATTTTGTGGGGGGGGTGTCAAACCTATTATTTTACCACATGACAATGTAACTGCATTCAACACCAAGCCTCTCACAGCTATGGTGGAGCTTCAACTAAAGATATTTTAGTTCATTAAAGATAATTTAATTGAAGGAGTCCTGCGGGCCTCACAATGTGACAGAGATCTCGACGCTCTGTGGAGAAAATGAAACTTTGAGAGTTTTGCCTTCTTGCTTTCAGCTTTTGCACTTACTTGACGTTAGATTTTTTTCCGGGGAGGTGTCTGGGTGGAGAATCTCACGCTTGTGCTGTAATGAAGTGTTGGTATATTTAGCAAGAACTAATGAGTGAGAAGTCAAACCAATAAATAAGACTGATGCATTGTCAAATTGTATTGTAAAATATTGTTCACGTAAATACACAACACATTTCCCAATAAAGTATTGAAAACTGACACCCATTGTATTAGAAACTTGCAGCCTGTCTGTGGCAGTATGCGCTGTGTTGTGCATCTTATTTGTTTTAGCTCGACAAACTGGTTTTTGACTGCCTCTCAATTATTCTGCATTGATTTGGTGTAATTTTCCTTTATATTTGAACAACAACAAGAGCGGTTTTTAGTTTCGCATGTGATAACCCTGAAGTCAGAGACGCCTGATTCAACTCAATCCACTCTCTATTGGTCGCTTTATAGGCAATTTTAATGTTTTTAATTTCAATTCTTAATATTGATTAGTTCACTTATCCGGTTAGGTGAAGGTGCTAAATATGTCAATAAGCAAATAATAGGTACCTTTGGAATAGCAATGTTTCTAATATGAGCTAATTCTGATTTTTGATTTATGTTTCTGTAACTCTGGGGCCTTATGGATATGTTTTATTAATTTAAATTTCCTTTTTTCATGTAGGTCATTCACTGTTCTAAGGGTTATATATTATATAGTGTTATATTTAGTATTAAAGGTTCCTAGACATGATAAGGAAGGAACTATATGCATAAAATCCAACACCAGATCAAGCCATTCCTTCAATGTAAGCCTAGCTTGAAGTATTTTAACCATGGCCCCTAGGGCTCATGAGGTGGCATTTGGGCTGGGGGGCTTTTTACGCCACTAGGTGGAATCACCCACTTGGGATGGGAGAGGGGAGGGAAAAGGGGAGGGGTCCAGTACTGTGAGGGAGGAAAGGAGAAGTTCCAGACTAATTTGACAGGGTGCATTCACAAGGAACTGTGGCATTTGAGATTCAGCACATATGCTGAAACTGTGAGAGGCGTCTGTTCCCGTGAGCTGGCTGGTGTCCTGGGGGCAGAAGAAGGCAACACACGAAGTTGACTAGAGGGTGAGGAAGAAAGTGTCTGTGAGCAAAGGGGATTTCTCTCAACGGAAGAGGTAATAGTGAGACTTGAGACTTTGCCTTCCATCGGCAGCAATGGCAGAACCAAGTACAAAGCTGAAGCAGGTAGATCTGAACGAGGTGTCCGAAGATGACGACGAGGTGGTTTTGGTGACCAGTGTGAAAGAGCTTCCAGAGACTGAGCGAGTTGCTGAGGTCGAGAAGGAGAGTGATGCTCAGATTAATGGGACGATGGTGCTGACGCTGCTGGACAAGATTATCGGCGTGGTGGACCAGATCCAGCAGACCCAAGGTGCACTGGAGGCAAGGCAACAGAGCATGGAACGGGCAGTGATGGGCATCCAGGGCGAGCTTGCCAAGCTCTCCAAGAGCCACAACGGCACCACCCAAACTGTCAACAAGATGCTGGAGAAGGTGCGCAAGGTCAACGTCAATGTCAAGACGGTGCGCTCCAACCTGGAGAAGCAAGCAGGACAGATCAAGAAGCTGGAGCGCAATGAGAGTGAGCTGCTGAAGAGGAGAAACTTCAAAGTATTTATTTACCAGGTGAGGCAAAGCTAAGCGTTTCAAGGCAGGAGGACACCCACAGGTGCTTGACTAGCATGGTGAGACAATGGGCTGTGAATGTTAAGGACAATGATATTCTGTGTTGCATGACTGCTACTCCGCTGCTGAAAACAGAATTGCTAATAGTACTGTGTCGTTTGTTTGCAACTCTTATCAATCATAAAATGCAGCCGTTGAGTGATGTTTTTACATCTAGAAAAGGACTTGTAATTATTCCGACTATAATCTTGAATCAAAGATCAGTTTAATCTTGAAGCTCGAAGATCAGTTTAAACAGATTAAATACTTCAGAAAGAGCTACTGTATCTTGTGTTACGGCATCTGTGTGCAGGCTAATGGCCTCTTTAAGATATTGACAGACATGCTATCATTAGTTCTGTTCCGCATATCAGTTTACATTTAGATTACAGCTAGTAAAAAAATGGAAGAAGGTGTAATATAACAGCATTCCTAATAATTCCATAAGGAATTTAAAGTTAGAAGGCAAGCTCTTTTAGCTGAAAAGTCACTGGACCGTCGGTCCTCACTGGCGTGGTCTTTTTTTAGCCTTGCGTGCCGAGATGTGTAAAAGCTTGCGGGCTGACGTTCAGTTTCCAGCCTGGTTCGCTGTCGCCCAAAACAGCCTTTCGGTGCCTCAGACCGACCGAGGCTTTCAGTTTAGCACCAGGGAGCCCCCAAAACGCACGAAACACCAGCAGACCCCCCCGCGGCTCTGCAAAGCAGGCAGCCCACAAGGTCTCAAATTAGCCTCAAGCGAAATGTCGATTATAGTCGACTGTCTGATCAGAGTCAACATGCATTGCGTCCTGTAGATTAATCAGAGTAATCTGGGATATGTCCTTATGTTTAGGAAATTCAGGAAAAATTGTCCCCCTGCCTTGTGCCCTGTGCGTCCTAAGAGTGGCTATGGGTCACCGTCACTGTACACTGGATATGTGATCAGAAGGCAAGCCAAGGGGGGAACCTCCTATTTCCTTCCTGTTTTGTAAAGATGAGGTATAAGATTTTTAAGCACAATTTCTAGCTATTGAGCCGATGGTTCCTGTGTGGGGGAGTCGTTGGACTCCAGCTGATATTCCCACGCTGCTGCAGGCAGCTCAGCCTCTCTATTAATTGCCGAGGCCCTGTATCAGTGTCGCGTTAAACGACACCAAGCAAGCAGGCAGTCGTGACATCCTCAGACCGCAGAATCCTGTTTCAGCGTTTCAATGCTTCGGCTGCGGCATCGTGTTTCATTGTCCGGCTGTGGGCCTTGTTGTCGCAGCTCGGAACCAGCACAAGGGAACCCAGTGAATATTAGACCGAGCAAGTGGGGTGGGAAGGAGAGATACCAGGAAGAGTTAAATCTGGGGTCTCGGCAAAGTGAGCCAAGAGCGAGGTTCCAAATTTACATTTCATGTTGAAATCCCAAGGTGACAGGACAAGACTCGTGGGGTGAAAACGCATTTGTTTTTTCACTTAGCAACCAGCCCACAATCACAGGTCATCCGTCAAAGGTAGACGTAGCAGCTGGTCGATGGTGCATTCTGCAAGGCGCAAGTTTGGCTTTGCTCCCTAAATAGCTCTCGACAGGCCGTCCGTTGCCCCTCTCTCACCCTTTACCTCCCATGTTCAAGTCCAGATTTAGGTCTGGGGTCCTGCTCTCCCTTCCAAACCGTTCGCCTGCTAATTGGACCCGATCTGCTCAATCTTCAATCTTGCGACGGACCCTTGACCTACTCTTTGATGAGCTGAAGAAGAACAAACATGGAACTCATTGTGCATGATCTGCTGCAGTGCCTCTTCGTGTTTTTGAGTTGCCCACATGCCCGCACTGCATCCTCCGCACTGGCTGGTACAGCATCCTATTTGCTCACAGCCATTGGTAGGAGTGAGCCCCACTTTCCGAAGTACCTGCACAACTTAAACTAACTGCACACTTCTGTTCACAAACCACCAGGCCAGAGTCCATGGGGGGGGGGGTGGACAAAGTGAGAGCGAGCCAGTGACATCTGGGCTCCATCACACACCCTGTGCTGAGGGTAGCAGGCCATGGGTAAAGTTAGCCGCCTGATTCACGCTCTAGGCATGCCTCCCATCTCCTCTCACTGCAAATTCGACTGCCACCGTCCACCAGCTCCCCCCCTCACCCATCCCACACTTGGAACCTTCCACTATGTGTGTCCGTTTGCTCATTCTTACACCATGGTCTAGTGCCGTACTAGAATGCTGCTCAGGGGGCGGGGCCTGAGGGATTAAAGTTCATTTTCCTTTCACTCACCGCCCCTGAGTGGTGTTTTAGCAGGTGGGCGAAATCGCGGCATTTGTGAATAACCTCTCCGCATGACCTTATGTGGCTCGTTGAGCTGTGTGCGCTGTGTCTGACTTGATTTCGACTTCGCGTGAGAGCAATCTGGAATAGACCGGACTGTATTAGCCGCTGCCAGGAGACAAGATTTATAGTCTGGGTATAATGTTTCAAAAGCGCATGTGTGTGTTTGTGCTGGGGGAGGGGGACGCATCGTCGACAGATAGGTTTAAATAGTATAGTATGTGATGCTGTGTGAAATACCACACACCATTATGCTTTCCCTGTTGTGGTTAGTGGGAATTCTTGTACATAATTCAGTTTGGGTTCTCCAGCCATCCAGTCTTCCGGACTACCTTTCCCATACAGTACCTGCGTTAAGGTTCCGGGTGATGGTAAATGGCAGAGCTGTCGAACCAGCGACCGGCAAGCGGAAAGGTACTCAATCCCACAATTCAATCAACCAGGGCTTGTGAGAAAGGGCAACCACATCAGTGGTGGTCGAAATGTATGGCGTGCTAAATTTATTCACAAAAAATCCTTTGTTTGTGTAAGGCAATATCAGGAACATTTTGGCAATATCAGGCTATATTTTTTATATCCGTTATGCACGTATCTTGGTGCTTGGTGCCAGCACTGTACCCCTCGTTACTAGCCTAGAAGCAGTTGATTGGACCAAACTGTGTATCCAATGGTTATATTAATACAGATTTCAATGGTTTGCGGAAGTCAGCAAGAGGACCCTGCACTCCTTCCCCCTTCCAAAGCCCTTGTCATGGGAAATGTCCAACCTCACAACCAAGTCACCAAGCATTGCAACATAGCTAACCCGCTCCACACCGGGACAGGTAAATCACTGCTCATTCCATATTTATGGCATTTACAAGCCCTAGTGCCTCAGCTGTCATAGCTGGTGGAAACAAAAACCTTGCATTAAAACCGGAAATGCTTTTTTGAGTTTAAAGACGCATACTGAAATGGGGCCGGGAAATACCTGGCGTATCCTCTTTCACTGAGTTCCGTAATCAGGCCCCCGGCAGTAGAGGTTGATTGAGTGCTCACCAAGAGTCCACACGCGCACACATGTCTTCGTGTCTGTGAAGTCACCGGCTCGCAGCTGCAGGTGCAGCTAGCTCCAGTGATCACTGGCTTGAGTGATTACTGCACTGCTTTGGGGGCGTTATGCAGGGTACCCGCGGTCATGGAAATCCTGGAAAAGTTTTGGAATTTTGAAATAATTTTTCCAGGCCCTGGATAAGTTTTGGAATTCTTGGATAGAGTTTTGGAAACTAGCCTTGTTCATTTTTCCCGCTTCGTTCGTACACGGAAATGTACGAGCGGAAGTCAATAGTTAACTACCTTATACAAATACTGTTCTATCTACTTTAGTTTTACAAACTTGTGGGTTTTGGAAAATTTTCTTATGATACTGGAAAAGTTTTGGAAAATCATGGAAATTTATTTTGCCAGAACCGGGGAAACCCTGGTTATATGCCCCATGCTCAGCTCTGAAACATGTCCTGTCACTGTCATATGGACATTTAGTACAATAGTCATTGTAGGACCCATTGTATGATGATCACTGCGGAATCAGCCCAGTTAGGTGCCCACTGAAAAGGAGTGACTCCTTAGGTAGCAGGCTGATTCTGATGCAGTTACGGATCTAAATTATATATCGTCAATAAAGAAAAATTTGTATTTTTATTAATCTTATTTACTGTAGCTACAAATTATTCCCAAAGAAATGTGATGATGTCACCATGTTGTCATTATAGTTCACTTGGCTGTCACTAACTTAACTTACACGCGAGGTCCGGTCCCAAATTAATAATCTACTGTGTAGATTTTTCCTATAAAATCTTCAACCGGGTCTCAGCTATTTACCATCTCAGATGAGCTAGTGTGTGGAATCGCACATTATAGGGATATTGGGTTTGAAAAAATTGCAAATGGACTTTTACTCATTGTAAAGTCGAAATATTGTAACACCAACGTAACCTGGAGAGCGTGAGTCTATGGTATAGTATATATGGTGTTATAAACTGGAAGTAGGTAACCAAACAGCATTTATACTAGGTGTAAATAACCACATTTAATGAATATATTTTTAATTAGCTTTGAAATCAACAGTGGCTGATATATGCTCTGATGGGCCTATTCTGTTTCGTCCAGGTGGCGCCCTGAAAGTCAGAACCACTAAATGTAAGATTTAGTATTATTTGCTAAATCCAGCCACAGGAACGCTCAGAGTCATTAGGGTGAAGGAAAGAGCAGCAAACAGGTCCACAATGTGTGAGCGTTCCACGATCATCTCTGTGCACTTGAGTCTACTCGCCATAGCGACAGTCACCTGGTCTCCATGACGCTGCCTCCCAAAGCCGTGCCTTTGTGCTGTTTGTCCTGCACAGTCTGTGTGCCATAATAACAAAGGGCTGAAGTGCAAATAGTGGCTGATGATGTTACAATATATTACATAACCAGCTGAAGCTCTAAAATGTGAAATTAAATGTCTCACCCTCCTGTTTACCCACAGTAGCTGCTTCTGCTGCTGAAGAAGATCTACTCTGCTGTTTCTGTCAATGATAGGTGTTACGCAAGAATTTTTGCCCCCCCCCCCCCCGTGGGATCTAAGGGATAATATTTCCTTGTTGGTTGTAATTGAGGATGTTATTGAGGCCTAAACCTCAATCCC